GGGGATTTGGGGGCAGTTCAGGGAGGTTTGGGGGGGTTTTGGAGGAGATTTTTTTGGGGGTGGGGGGGGGAATTTTTTTGGGGGGATTTTGGGGGATTTTTCGGGGTGCTCAGTGGGATTTGGGGGTCCCCAGGCCCCATGGAGGAGGCGGAGCGGCAGTGGCGCCTGGAATTCCACCGCTGGAGCTCGTTCATGCTGCGCTGGAAGAGCCAATTCGAGCTCTACAGCCGCCAGGAGCGCTGCCAGCCCCTGTAGCACCCCAAAATCTACCCAGGGCGCCCCAAAAACCGCCCAGGCACCCCAAAAACCGCCCAGGTACCCCAAAAACTGCCCCAGCACCCCAAAAACTGCCTGGGGTACCCCAAAAACCGCCCAGGTACCCCAAAAACCGCCCAGGGTACCCCAAAAACCACCCTGGCACCCCAAAAACTGCCTGGGGTACCCCAAAAACCACCCAGGTACCCCAAAAACCACCTGGGCACCCCAAAAACTGCCCCGGCACCTCAAAAACTGCCCCGGCACCCCAAAAACCGCCTGGGGTACCCCAAAAACCGCCCCGGCACCCCAAAAACCGCCCAGGTACCCCAAAAACTGCCCTGGCACCCCAAAAACTGCCCAGGTACTCCAAAACCTACCCAGGATACCCCAAAAACCGCCCGGGGTACCCCAAAAACTGCCCCGGCACCCCAAAATTCACCTGGAACGCCCCAAAATCCACCCAGGAACCCTAAAATCCACCCGGGGCACCCCAAAATCCAGCCAGGAACCTTAAAAATCCCCAAGAAACCCAAAATCCCACCCAGGGACCCCAAAACCCGCCCAGGGCACCCCAAAACTCACCCAGGACATCCCAAAATCCACCCAGAGCACCCCAAAATCCACCCAGGACACCCCAAAACCCGCCCGGGACACCCCAAAATTTACCTGGGTTACCCCAAAATCCACCCAGGAATCCCAAAATCCACCCGGGGCACCCCAAAATTTCCCCCCCAACCCTCCGGGACCCCAAAATTTGGGGACCCCCCCCCCAGTCTCGTCTTCAGTGTGACCCCAATAAAAGCTCCAACCCAAACCTGACTCATGGGGGGGACCCCAAAAATGGGGGGGACCCCAAATTTATTGGGGAATCCCAAAATTTTGGGGAGGGGGGACCCCCAAAATCGAGGCGAGACCCAAAACACGACACAGGGACAAAGGGGGGGGGGGGGACACCCCAAAATTTTATTGGGGGCGACAATGGGGGGGTCCCCCAATTTTGGGGACCCCAAAACTGGAAAGAGGATCTTGAGGGAGACCCCAAAAATTTGGGAGGGGGGGATTTTGGGATCCCTCCAAATTTGGGGGGTTCAGGGAGAAATTTGGGATTTGGGGGGGGTCCTGAGGGTTTTGGGGAACCCCTCCCCCCCCCAAAGGATTTTTTGGGGGGTCCTGGGGGGGCTCCGACTTCAGGCTGCTGGAAAAAGGGGAAGGGGTGAGGGGGACCCCCCAAATTTTGGGGAGAACCCCAAAATTTTGGGGTTTTTTTTGGGGATCCCCATCCCGCACCGTACCCTGGTCGAAGTTCAGCTTCTTTGGGGGGGGGTCCCCAAATCCTTCGACGTCCACGAGGTCCCCGGGGGGGTCGG